ATTTTATAAATATACTTTTTTTAAATATTTTTATACTGCTATACTACAATTTAGGACAGTATCATACTTTTATTATTTCATTTTATGCTAATGTTTTTTGAATGGTTATTGCTGAACCAGGGGTCTGAGCGTAATGTAATTTCTATCCTGTGTATGTCCTGTACATATTGCAGTTTTGACAATAAAGTGACTTGACTTTGATATTGTGTCACTCAGACTGGCGAGCCCGTGCGTTTCGATATCGGTCTTGTTGTTCGTCATTTCCGCCAGCAGGGGGCAGTGTCGCTACGCTGAGTTTAACGGAGATCAGCATCGACGGAGCTGCTGCTAAAAGAAGGCAGCGACGATTGAAGTAAATATTTTATCATTTGTGAAATGAAATGTGAGGAAGTGAAATAAAAAGACTGTGTCCCGCTGTATTGCTCAGGCTGCGCTGCAGCGTCTATTCACAGGCGCGACCCACTACTGAGCGGCACGGGGGCTTTGACCTGCTCCGTTTCCGGCCTGGGCCGGTGCACCCCTCCTTGGACGACCTGATGGTCCCGGGCTCCCCCAGGAGCACCATATCGATACCGAGCTTAGTGCGGACACCCGATCGGCATAGTCCGCTGCAGCTCAGAGCTCCTGAGCTCAATCGGTCCGCCAGCCTCAGCCTCCCAGCAGCTTGGATTACAGGCGCGCGCCACCGCACCCGGCGAGGATAGCCCAGGCTCATGGAGCTTTTACGAAGCAGCATTTAATTTAATTTTTACAGTGGAGGAGCTGGGGGGTGGCCAGTGGTGGCCTTGGATTAATCTTTAGTCATCCCACCGACCACACCACCATTTGGTGAAACACTACCTTGAAATTATACAAATATAAAATATGTTTTCTCAATTGATAAAGCTGATAGTTTTATATATATTTGTACATAATCTGGTATTGGTGGCCATTTAAGATTTTGATGTGGTGACCCATTTTTTGATGGGCACCTTTCTTTTATGCAGCCACACCAAAATAGAAGTCTGTACCTGAATTATTTTTCAAACCCTCTTCTCTCCGGATGACTGAACTACAGAAAACCAGACTTTAAATTACACTCAAACGTAATTTAAAAATATAAAAACCTATCATCTGTAATTTCCGTATTTATAAAATGTGCATTTAGTGCTTTTCTGTAAATGACTGATATGAATGTAGTTTTTAAAGTTTTACTTTAGTAACCCTGCACATGTTTAAAATAGAATTTATACATTTATTAATGTTTACATTAAATAAAAAAAGACCTCAAACTTACATTCAGATGAATTTTTTTTCATTCAACCTTTATTTATATCGTCTCATTGAGCTCAAGGATTCATTTACAAGAAAGACCTGTTTAATAATTAATTAATTAATAATGTTTGACTTAAATGAACAAAGAGCCTAGTCATCTTAAAATGTGTTCAAAGGTTTCATGAATAAATTTAAAGTCAGTTTACATTTCAAACACGTCAAAGAGGAACACTGCATGAATTACACTGTCGCCCGCCGGGCTCAGGGGCGCACGCCTGTAATCCAAGCTGTGGGGAGGCTGAGCACGGTGGACCGTTCAGGCACCCGGTATCGATTCTGGAGGAGCCTGGGATCACCAGGTGGTCTAAGGAGGGGTGCCCAGGTCTGACATGAAGCAGGGCAATGCCCCCGAGCTGCTCAGGAGTGGGACCGCACCTGTGAACAGGTGCTGTCCTGCAGCTTGACCCGGTCTTTTGTTCTCACTTTAATTAACTCGTCTCATTAGATTTAATCTCTTCGGCTCGTTTTCCAGACGCTTCATCTGATTTATTCTGATTCTCCATAAAAAATTAAAAAAAAAGAGTTTGTTGCTGCAACTTCACTAAAAACTGACACTTTTTCTGTTTTATAAACTTTTTATTCTGGTAGTTCAAGGTTCTTTACTGTCACTCGCATCGCATGTGGTGCATGAGGTGGAACGAAATTATGTCCTCAAGGTCTCAGTTACATCCCAAAATAGCAAAACTAAAAAGTATAAAAAGAATCAGATACGTTAAACGATAATACGATGTATTAAACAGCAGCCTGAACACGAGTCAGTAGTGAGCAGATACAGCAGCTTAAAGGCAAGAAATCAGGAGCATGGATAATCAGCAGCATGGATAATCAGCAGCATGGATAAGTCACAAATCACCAATGAAAGTGTCATTACTGTGATTATCCTGGTCAGGGATTCATTAGCCCAACAGCTACAGGGGAGAAGCTGTTCCTCAGTCGTGTGGTTCTACACTTAGGACTGGACTGGGAACCAGTGCTGAGGATTATGGTGGATCCTCAGACTGTGGTTGCACAGGGAAGTGCTTGAAGAGCTGTCGCCTCTCAGGTTTTTGCCCGATTTTTAACCAGTACAGGCAAAAGAGAGCACATTACACCAGTTTTGGCCTCACTGCACTGGTTACCAGTTCACCTTAGAATCCAGTTCAAAATACTCCTGTATGTCTACAAATCACTGAACAGTGTCGCGCCCCCCCCCCCCCCCCCAACTCTCTGATCTGCTACAACCATATGTCCCACCACGCTCCCTGAGGTCAGCGGACCAGTTGCTCCTCACAGTTCCAGGAACTCGTCTTAAGCGCAGAGGTGACAGGGCCTTCTCTGTAGCAGGACCAAGACTTTGGAACGAGTTACCTCTGCTCGTCAGTTAGGCCCCTCCCTCTCAGTTTTCAAGTCCCGTTTAAAAACTCTCTACTATTCAATATCTTTCAACACCAGATGATCTGTGTTTGATCCTGTATGCTCCACACTGGTTTGTGTCATTATCTGCAACGTTTTTATGTCTATATTCTGATTTACCTCATTTTATATTCTGCTTTGTGTGTTACCTGTTGTTCTGTCTGTACAGCACTTTGGTTGGCCTTGTAGCTGTTTTAAGTGCTCTATAAATAAAATGGTATGGTATAGGTTGCTGGTTTGAATCCGAAGACCTTCCAGGGTGCAGTTTGCATGTTGAGTTTTACCTTGGACCCAAAACACGACTGCTGGATTTATTTGTAAGTAAGAGTCCTGAGGTGTGAATGGTCGTCTCCAAATGTCCCCGGTGTCTCCTGGACGAGACTTTTCAAATGATGAAGTTTTAGAGGTGCTCAGATCACTTTTAATCTTTTGAAGGAGTTTCGTCCTTTTTGTCGAGACCAGTTCCAGTTTTTACGACTCGTCAGTTTATTTCAGTGACATCGTGGTTTCAGGCTCCAGACGAGCCGGTCTGTAAACTAACAAAGACAGACGCTGCAGCAGGCGAGACGCTTTATTCTAACACTGTTTCCAGAACACAAACGTTCATGCAAGCATCGTAACGAACACTCGTTTCACTCCGATCGGCTCCGTCCGACGAGCCGAAACCGAAACCTGAAGAAAAATGAAGGACGGACCTTTAGCTTTGGTCAAAACAATTAAAAATATTTGAAACAAACGGAGTCGTTTAAAGAAGATCAACAAGATCTTGAGATAAACAAGAGCTCAAAATAAATTGAGGTTTTAAATTTCATTTGGTGGAGTTCTCTTCAAGACACATTTTAATTCAAACTAAAAATAAAAGCCTCGTTGTGTTTGGACATTAAAACAAGGAAAAGTTCAAACTCGAAGTAAAACTCGTGCTGCAGGTGAAATAAACTCTGGAGGCGTGTGAAGCTCCTAAAACTAATAAAAATAAAGAAACGTCTTTAAAAGCACGTCCAACGAGTTACAGGAAGCTGCTCGGAACCTCTGCAGAACAGCTGGAAGTCTGACGTGCACGTCAGCTCGGGTTCAAAGCGTCAGTCAATAATAAACACTTCGTGCACGATCTGCTCTAACTTCACAACGACGGTCTAAATTCACCGGGGGGGGGTCATGACATGCTTTCACACAAACATAAAAACTGCAACAAAAACTACAAACTCAACTTTCTTTGCTAACAGGAAGTCAGGTACACAGGCAGAGTAAAAAACGACCCTCGGGTTCGTCCAAACCTCCACAGGAAATAAAAACCAGACGCTCAGACCTCTTGAGGAGTGAGCGTCTTACCTGTCGTAGACAGCTCTGTCAACAACTCCAAGCGATTTGTTTTATTGAGAGTTTCCTAAACGTTTAAGCCGTCGTCGGTTTCTCAGGACATGGAAACGTGCGCTCGTCTGCACGACTTCTGCTCAAATGACCAGAAACTTCTTCAGCATTCATGAATCAAAACATCTTTTTGTAAAACAGAGTAAAGAAACGACCGTACGGATTAAAAACAAGCGCTTGTTCTTTGAGACGACGCTAAACTTACAGCAAACTTAATTTAAGGTTAATAAAACCTTCCCGTGTGTTTACAGTGGACCCCCACGTGGCTTAAATTTAATATTTACCAACATTATTCTCTTTCCTTTGATATGCTGGTCCGTCATAAATATTTAAATATATAAGCTGAATCACCTCATTATGTAACAATGGCTGTGATTTAAAATAAAACGTCACAAAAATTAAAATAACCCATGACAGCCGTGCTCCCCTAGCAGCTCTTCTTCTCTGGTTTAGCTGTAGTGTACTTTCAAATTAAAAGCATAAATATCCACAGATATACGACCTAAACTCCCGGCGTTATGAAGACAAAGATCTAAAAGATCATCAGCTTGTTGAGTTTTCTACTTTAAGCATGATCTATGTTGCTGCAGCTTGATGCGTCCTTAGCCCCGGTCATTCAGAGAGCCATCTACAACAGGTAAGATGCTGACTGTTCATGTTTCCACTGAACCCCCGCTTCAAAAGAAACAAGGTAAAGGTGAGAAAACGGTTTTTAAAAGATGCGTGGCTACACGCAGGCTGCAAAAACTAATACGAATGTTTGGACAGTGTCTGAAAACTCAAATCAAAAGTACAGGAGCGTTTCTTCTGGACTGTGGCTCTGATTGTTGAGTCAAAGTGCAAACGAGTAGGAGCCGTTAACGGAGCGAGCCCACCGGCAGCTTGTTGTTTGTTTAGTTGGAAGTGTAAGGCACTCGGCCGGGGGGGGGGGGGGGTCACTCAGAAACTCCCTCCCTTCATTTCCTTTCACAGTTGATGCGTAACAGGGATGACGAGGTCATTTCTCGATTTAGAGAAACTCTGTAAAAATAAAATCTTCTTCCTTTCCTTCAGAGGACGTTTGTGACGGAGGACAAGACGCTCAGAGACGAGTGAAAGGGCCGACGTGCAGAGGCCCCCTCAGCTTAGGAGACGAGTAGACGGTGGTGGTGAACTGGGAGGACGGGGAGGAGGAGTACGGAGACGAGGAGTCGCTGCTGCTGTTGAGGGTGAACACCGAGGAGATGGCCACGTCCACGATGCCCTGACATAACTCTGGGTACAGTTTCCTGGAGAGAAGGACAGAAGAGATTTAAACGCGTTTTAATTTAGTTCCAGTCAATAAAACCCAAAAACAATCTGCAGCCGACTCAAACACGTTCGGCCGAATGATTCAAACATGACTCCAAAGGTCAAAGGTCATGTAGAAGAGCCGTACAGCCTTTAAAATGCAGTACACGTCTCGTCTCTCGAGTTCGGAGGAGCTGCTTAGATTTGTGCGACACTAAAACAAGTCCAAGCTGCAAAACCCTGTGAACATTAGTTCTGCCCAAAGCCATAAAAAATAAAAGGACTTGACACTGGGGCCCCATGGGGCCCACGCTTCAGTTTGAAAACCATCGTTGTGAGAAAACAGGGGCTTCAGGTGCAGAGACATGTGCTGCTTCAGCATGAAGGCGGGGCGTGTATTCTGAGCCCACCCTGGACCGCAGCTTCCTCTGTATAGTCCTTTCAAAATAAACAGCAGAGGAAGACGCCGGGGCTGAGTTACAGTAGTCCCTCGGTACTTCCCGGTTCGACTTTCACGGGTTTTCAACGCAAGATTGTACACGACACACGGCGACCAACCAGAGCATCGTGCTCTGTATCCCAGGCGCTGATTGGCTCAGTATCTGTAGCGTCGGTCTGTCCGCTCTCTTTCGCTGTGCCCTTCTAGAGCGTTCAGAACATGAAGAACACTGCAAGAGTGCAGGAACGGCTTATAAAGCCTTAAAATATTTATTAACAATGAAACTAATGTAACGGCCCTACTTCGCAGATTTTTACCTGTCGCGGGGGTGTCTGGGATGTAACCCCTAGGAACTACTGTGTATTTTATTTTTGAGGGGGGTTGGGTGGAAGGTGCGTCTACAAACACTGGGTGGGAAACAGAAAGAGACAGTTGTGACCATCAAGTTACCGTACTCTCCGGTGTATAAGCCTCTACCGCAGTTTATACAATGCTGTGGCTAATTTATGGAAACTTTGTTTTTGGATGTGCTAACGAGCTTCCTGCTGCCAAAAACATTTAGCTTCATCACGCCCGGGCGCTCACATAGCTGCTCACGTCTCTTGTGGGGTGGGTCCTCGTGACTCCATGAACTACTTGTATAAACAAAAGGTCAAATATATTAATGTGACCAGTGAAATGACCAAACAGGTCACAGTCAAACCAACGAAACGGGAGGGGGGAATCCCCTGCGTGCACCGAGGTTACCGATTGTTTTTAACCAGCCAACATTGTTCAGAAAATAAAAAACATTTACTGTACGTACTTGTGTATGTTACTGGTACATATAAGTTTTAAAAATCTTTCTGTAAAAACATGTTACAACATGAACACCTGCAGCTTATATTCAGGTGCCCTCTGGAAATTACGGTAAATATTTAAAGTTGCTGATTATTTTTAAAAACTTTGAATATTCAAAAGTCACCGCCCACCCTCGGTATTAAAACACGCGGCTGTAAGAACGCGCCGTCGCCTCGTCGCGTTTCTGAGACTCTAACGAGCGCAGAATGAAACGAAAGGCCTCGTCGATGTGACGGCGGCACCAGGCGAACGCTGTCGCGCCCGTCTGTCCTGCAAACAAACGAAAAGCCATTTCAAGATGAAGAATACTGACTGTGCACAGGCTGGAGCGCCGTTGATCTCGATGAGCCACACTCTCAACTTTTCATCCACCATGAAGTCAAACCCGAACAGCTGGAAGCTCTGGTAGGACAGATGTTTGGTGCTGATGGCGGGCTCGATGCAGGTCAGACAGCTCCTGTCCATCAAACCGTTCAGAAACGTGATCAATACAAACGACTGACGATACACCGCACAGTTCTACTGTATGAAGCACTCACACTATCGTTTTCCTGTTTATATTTATTATTCTGACGACTTCTATCCCTGTTCCGTACGTTTTTCAGCTCGAATCTCGTCCTTCAGTTTTAAAGATATTTCAACAATTCATGAATCAAAACGTTCGGCTCTTTCAGGACAATCCTGCTAGGACTTCTGGTATTGGTGCAGCTTTAGCTGTTTGAAATATTTTAGCCTTTTCTGACATTTTTTCCTCATAGAAAATGAATTGAGCTCATTTTCCATCCTTCAAATCTTTAGCTGTTTACAGCCTTTTACTGCTCCTTTCACATTTTGTTCTGCTTCAGCTTCTTTCTGTTAATTTAAACATTTTTTCAGCTACTTTCAGCTGTTCTGTGCTCCTTTCAGATTTTTTGTTAACAACACTTTTGCGCTTCTTCTAAATTCTTTCGGCTAATTTCAGCTTGTTATGCTCCTTTCAGCCTTTTTCTGCTAGTTTCAGCTTTTGCTGCTTTTTCAGCTACTATTTAGCTGATTTATGCTAATTTCAGCTTTTTCAGCTAATTCCACATTTCCATCCATCATCTTTACCCGCTTCTTCCTTTTTGGGTCGTGCACTGTCTAGCAATCACTGTGTGAGAGGCGGGGGACACCCTGGACAGGTCTCCAGTCCATCAGAGACACAGAGACAAACAACCATCCTCTCTGTCACCTAGGGACAATTCAGCCTAACATGCATGTTTTTGGTCTGTGGGAGGAAACCGGAGCACCTGGAGAAAACACACACAGCACGGAGAGAACATGCAAACTCCACCCAGGTCAAATCGGGGATTGAACCAGGGACCTGCTCGCTGAGAGGCAGCAGCTCTACCACCGTGCCACCGTGCTGTAATTCCACATTTGTTTCGCTTATTTCAGCTCCTTCTGGTAGTTTATGCTTGTTTCTGCCTTTTCAGCTTTTTTTTCCCTCGTTGTTGGTAATTTCCTAATTTCTGCTTGTTGAAACCTAATTCAGCAAACATGTTGTTTCTGCTTTATTCTGCTAATTTAGGCCTGTTCTTCCATTTCAGCATGTTTTTAGTTACTTTCAGCAAGTTCTGCATTCACACTGCATTTTCACAGGAAATGTAACTTCTCTAGTTTTATGCGAGACAAAGCAGCGTGACGTTTCTCCGTCTTTGAGTGTCACTCCTCGTTTCTCCAGACAAAATCTTCTTGTTGTGTTTGCCGTTTGTGAAAAAGCTGTCATTAGCAGGAAACCAGCGGCGAGCGTACTTTATGATGTGCTTGATCTGAGGCAGCAGCGCCGTCTCCAGGGCGACGCCGTGAGCGTTGAGGAGGTACCGCCGGAACTCGTCGAAGAACATCTCGTTCCCCTCCTCGAACTGACCGTAGTTCTTGGAGTGCTCCTTCTGAATGCAGTGGTTGGTCAGGTGGCTGGTGATGTCCTGAAGGTCAGAGCTGTTGTAGGGTTCTGACGAGGTCCGCAGCACACCCTCTCGGTACAAATAGATGTTATACTGGTGGTCCACCAGCACCCAGCTCCTGTCAGTGCCAGAGGAGGAACATCCTGAGTTACACAGTAGATTCTCTGCAGGCTTCCACCATTCATTAAAGACCTGCCTGATGTCAAACTTTCGATGACCCGGTTCCAGCAGCAGAGGTCTCTCCAGGTACTTCTGGATGACGTGAACCTGCCCCTGATTGTCGATGTACTCCAGCAGCTGGCCAGCATCATGGGATATAAGAATACCAGCACCTGTTGCAATTTAAATTGATCTGATCAGAAGTAGTTTAAAAAAATAAATAAAAAAAGGCCGACTTGTGTTTTTACCTTTAGCTCCAGCAGAAGACTTGGCGATCCACACGGTGCCGTCCCCACTTTCTTTTTTCGCCTGATACGAGGCCAAGAACACCTCCCGCTCATCCGTTTTGGGGTTGCTCTTCAGATGGCCGATGCCGTTGGAAGCCGGCGCCACAGGGGTGTTGAGATTGGTGGGGTAGATGATGTAGGACTCTGGGAACCAGCTGCTGTTGTCGGACAGCTCCGGGCTCGTCTTTACCAACCTGATGAAGAAGGAGAACAGTCAGCAAGTTTAACAGACAGGACGGGGAGCAGCTTCGTCTTCAAGACCGATGCACACTTGACCAAAGACGCCTTTCGGCAAAGCTTGTCCGCGCCTCGGTAATAATTCACCAGCTGCACCAGCCCTGGTTCGTGGCCTGAAAAGGCAAAGACAAGAACTTCATAAAGTTTGTGTTGCACAGACTCCATGAGTGAAATGGTCGTAGCCTTCCACACAGACTGCTCACCAAGGCGTCCGAAGGGCAGTCTGTTCCGTTCACCGAGCATCAGGTTGAACCTGGGGTTGTCTTTTTTCAGCTTCTTCCACCGTCCGGTGGACACGAGCATTTTGGAAACTTCTGCATAAACAGAGCTGTTGTCGTCGCGGCTGACGAAGGTGAACATGTGAGGATTCATACCGCCTGGCTGCTTCAGACGCGTTGTTCTGTGCGGGTCTGTGGTCGGCACACAGCTGCATGAGGGTTATCTCCTCTGTCCGTGCCTCGACCAGGATGACTCGCACATATTCAGTCCAAGCGTCCCCGCCAACTGAGCTGCTTGAAGCTAACGCGTGCTAGCGTCATAAAACTTAAACATGCACTTATTATTCCTGTGAACAGAGGCTGCTCCTCGGAGCAGAAAAGTCCTTCAGTGTCGCCGGACAAGGGTGTGTCTGCCGGCTCCTCCGGGGCTGGTCCGGTCCGGAAGCATTACGTCCCGTCCTCACTTTAGCTAACGGCTAGCGCTGCGGCTAATTCAAACGGCTGCCCGGGAACGTTTTCTGGCGCGAGATGCTGTTCAAAAGTATTTTAACATCAAAGAAAAATGCTAACTGTTCGCGTGATAAATGCTTAATATCGTAAATGCGCTGCATTGTTTTGTTAGCGGCGTGTGCTTCATTATTTGAAGCTCAGAGAGGCATTCGCTACGGACAAGATCGATGTGTAATAGGATTGTGGGTAATGTAGTTTGTACCATCATTAACTTGTAACGCAATTATACTAAAGTTTTATTTTTACATAGTAAGAAATTTATACCTCAAGTTTTAAGCATAAATGGCATTGGAGTTTTTTTTTTTTTTTTTTGCTAAGCGTGCGTAAAATCTGTAAAATTGCTATTTTTAGCTTTGTATATACTACATTTCCCAAAATGCAACGCGCAAAGGCGATGCCTTAATTTTTTCTTGTTTCTACACTGAGCCCACAAGATGGCGGTGTAGGTTTTAAACCAAACTACAGTACAAGGATTTCGCCTAGTTTAAAAAGTTTTAAAGTTAAAACATGTTTTCTTTTCTTTACGACTCTTTAGGTTGCGTGGCACTGGTTTAGAGTTTTACGTTGAACTTGTAAACGCTGCGTAGCGCTACATACAGGTTAGTCACGAAGTTATCTCTTTATTTTTCGTTTTATTTTTTAGCAGACATTTTGTCGGATGTGTTAACCACGTATTTCTGGTGTTTTCAGAATTTTCTAACTTTTGATGAAGCGAAACGGAAAACGTTAGTTGTAGTCCAGAACGGAGCGGAACCAGACCGGAAGTCCTGTTGAGAAAGCGGAAGAAGAAACAAGTGGCGGGAATATTAGGAACGTAAACAGAGCGCAGCGATAGTTGATGGTTGTGTAGCAACTTTAAAAGTTATCAGAGCATCAAAAGAAGATAACGAAACAGTAAGTGACGTCACAGCCTATTACCTGTTTTTGGGTTGAAGTATTCTCTTCTAACGGTCACTGAAAAACAAAACCTTGTCATATATTTCTGAACATCTCCATTATCTGAGCCTAGCTTGTCATTTATTATATTTACAGTAGAACTGTTTGGCCCGTGGTTCTCTGTAGGTGCTGACCCATTTCTGAGATGAGACCAAGACGTAATTTGTTGTCTTCTTTGTTTTTTGAGGGTTTGGCCTCACCTGAGCCGGTGCCTCTGTGCAGACTGGCGTTCACCTAGAACTGAAACAACAGGTGACTAAATCAGCTAAAGAAGACATTTTAGATGTTGCTGTTTACTGAAATCCCATCATTAATCGTATATCTAAAAAAGTTCCATCTGGTCCTCTGGACATTCAAGAAAACAAAAGTAAAACAACTAAAAAATGTAGAAACATTTTTTAGTTGTTTAGTTTTTTTGAATGTCCAGAGGACCAGATTGAACTTTTTTAGATTTTTCTACCTGGATTATTGAGGAGATTAATTCTCTTTTTCGTAACCAAAACAGCAGCTTAAATTAGCGCAACTGAAGCTAAAAGTTAAAATATTTCAAACTGCTCTAAAAGGTAAAATAAGCAAAATATTTGTCAAAAAACATAATTACGTAAAATAACAAAACAGTAGCTTGAAGCTTAAATAAGAAAACTTAAGATTAAAAAAAGATAAACCACTGATAAAAGCTAAAATTAGCAAAACTAAGCCTAAATTAACGAAACATTATTTGGAAGCCAAAATTATCAGCTATGTAGCTAAGCTAAAACTAGCACTAGCTCTAGCTACGTTTAGCAGGACAGTAGCTAAACTTTGAATGAGCAGAATACAAAAACAGTAGCTGAAACAGTTTTTGAAGCAGCTGAAGAGATCTCACTGTATTCCTATAGAAGAATGAAAAAGTAAATAAAATTATTTTAAAAAAGTATAAAAGTTACAAAAACATGACGGACTATGATTCCTGATCAGGTGAATGTTCTTATGGTTTAGCTGTTTTGATGTAAGAATGACTAAAATAGCAAAGTTTGCTGAACTAGTTTGATGGATTTAATTTTTTCTGAAATTGGGAACTCATAATGTGGCACTGACTCAGCGTTTACACCAACGTACAAAGTCGGAGTCCGAAGCTATAAAGTCATTACATAAACAGAGTCGCCAAACAAGAGCAAATAAAAATGTCTCGACAGCTGAAGACGCAACGTGTTTAGTTGGTTTTAGAGTTTGGGGGTTTCAATCCTGCGCTCATCATTTTTCAGCCTTTACACCTACGGATAAATTAAAGTTTTGTTTTTGAAGGTGCATCTTTGAACCATCTTTAAAGAGATGACGGTGTAGCTCAGGGCTGTTCATCTAAACCGCTCAGGGGCCACAGTTACTGAAAGCCAAGAGCTCAGGGGCCGCACATCCAGCAGTTATTGTCATTTAACAAGTTTAATTTATGGTTTCAAATCTAGTTTTATTTAAAAATGAACCCACTGAGGGGCTGAACTGAGCTCACTCATGGGCCTGATTTGGCCCCCGGGCCACCAGTTGAACAGCCCTGTGTGTTTTGGACAAATTCTCTAAAAAATGTTGATTATCTGTAACAACCATGTTATATTGTCTCCTAATGTTCATGTATCTTAGATAACTGTTATGTTGTAAGTTTTACACTAAAATCTGCCTGGTGGTTCATGAGAAATTTTGCTAACAGACAGTCGAATGAAGAGGCCGATACGGGTGTCAGGTGACCATCACTGCCTGCTCATATGGTTTGTGTCACAGACTGCAGGCTGAGGTGTTTGGTGCTTTCTGAGGTCGTGTATTTTTAATAACTTCTGTCCTCTCTGTCACCAGGCTGAAGCGGGCCAGGCATGAACGGCACCGCGCACCTGGACGAATGGCAGCGGAGGTCCTTGGACATTTCTTCTGGCAGCTGTACACCTGAACAGAAGGCTGACGCCTACCGGGCTCACATCCTGTCCATTCAGTATGCATCGGCAAGCTCCCAGCTCTCTCAGGCCGGCGCGGCCGGTCTGCTCAGGACCTACTCGGAGCTGTACGCCGCCGTGCTGGACTCAGACGACCCGCGCATGGGGCTCAACAACTACGCCGAGAGCGCGCTCCATCTGGCTCGCAGTCAGAGGAACTACAGCAGCAAATGGGAGTCGTCCCTGACGGCGGAGAGCGTGCTGCAGATCCCCTCCGTGCAGAAGATGATTCAGGCAAGTGCAGGGAGCGAGGGGCTTAGCGTGGCAGCAGCAGATGTTGACGTAGCAGTGGGACAGGAGAGTAAAGTGGGCCCCCCTTCTGCTTCCTGTCCCACAGCCAGGTCAGATGCTGCATGGCTCAACGCTGTGGACAGAAACCTAACTAATGTATCGGCTGAGAGGTCGAGGGTCTTTGATGGGGGCTCGGGGAATCTGAGCTCTGTCTGTCGACCTCCGGTTCGAACGCAGTCCGTGTTCAGCCATTTTTCTTCATCGTCACCACAAGTGAACCCTGTTCCTGCAGGACCAAACCTTCAGCCCTCCTTCCCCTCCTCCATCCCGGCTAAACGGAAGAACTTCTACTGCCAGGATGGAGGGGGCAGTGGTGGGGGCCAACCCAGAGGTCGAGGGGGCGCTGAACCTGGACTCAACTTCAGAACGGCTCGAGAACAGTTCATCGTCGACCAGCAGAAGAACCATTCCTGCCAGCCCTCGAGAGCTCAGCCGCTCTCTGCGGCAGCGTCCGTGAAGAAATCTCTGGGGGCCAACCGGCCTCGAGGGGCCTTTTCTAAATTTGTGTCGCCCATCGCTCGGCAGGAGGAGGAAGATGGCGCCGCGGGCCAACAGTCCAGACCTGAAGTTCTGGACGAGCGCTTGAAGAATTTTGAGCCGAAGATCATTGAGCTGATCATGAGTGAGATCATGGACCACGGGCCCCCGGTGGTCTGGGAGGACATCGCAGGCCTGGAGTTCGCCAAGACCACCATCAAGGAGATTGTTGTTTGGCCCATGCTGAGACCAGATATCTTTACTGGTCTCCGTGGACCGCCCAAGGGCATCCTGTTGTTTGGACCTCCAGGGACTGGGAAAACGCTGATTGGGAAATGTATCGCCTGCCAGTCGGGTGCGACGTTCTTCAGCATCAGCGCTTCGTCGCTCACGTCCAAGTGGGTGGGCGAAGGAGAGAAAATGGTGCGAGCCCTGTTCGCCATCGCTCGCTGCCATCAGCCTGCGGTGATTTTCATCGATGAAATCGACTCCTTGCTGTCCCAGAGGACGGACGGCGAGCACGACTCGTCGCGCAGGATAAAGACCGAGTTCCTGGTTCAGTTGGACGGCGCGGCCACGGCGGCAGAGGACCGTATCCTGGTGGTCGGGGCCACCAACCGCCCCCAGGAGATCGACGAGGCCGCCCGCCGGCGCCTGGCGAAGCGGCTCTACATCCCCCTGCCCGAAGCAGCCGCCCGGCGGCAGATCGTCTCCAACCTGATGGTCCGAGAGAAACACCAGCTGACGGAGGAGGAGCTGGACAGCGTGGTGACCGCCTCGGACGGGTTCTCCGGGGCCGACATGACCCAGCTCTGCAGAGAGGCGGCCCTGGGGCCCATTCGCAGCATCCAGCTGTGCGACATCGCCACAATCACCGCAGATCAGGTCCGACCGATTCTCTACGGTGACTTCCAGGAGGCTCTGAAGACGGTTCGACCCAGCGTCTCAACCCGAGACCTGGACCTGTACGAGGACTGGAACAAGACTTTTGGATGTGGGCGTTAAAGTTTCTCTCGACGGTTCTCGGTTACCTCGACCTCATTCACACAGAGGAACCGTTAGAGCTTTAGAACAAAATAAACATCTTGCCTCGTAAGAACGTTCATAACGATCGTTATCTCCAGATGTTCTTCCAGCTGGATTTTATCCTCATCTTCTGAAGGTCATTTGGACCCGTTGCAATCAACGGACCACGGCAACTAAAATAATAATAAAAGGAGCAACATTTGGAAACTAATCACAGAAGCTCAACGTTGTTGTTGACTTAAATGCAAACGTTTATGAGAATAAAACCGTGACGTTCTAAGATGCTGTGAAGTCGTTAATCTGTGAGGAAATAAAACAACTTTTAAGTATTTAAGTCTTAAATTCACCTAAATAAAACAATTAAACAAGATTTTTACTGAAATTAATAAAATCTTTGAGTGAAAAGGCAAAATTAGTTTTATATTTTAGTTGTAAATAGTCAAAGAGGGACACCAGATTATAACCCCCCCCCCCCCACTAATCTACCCCGACATCTTAAAGAACTTCCGCGTGTCCTCCTGCTAATTCACAACTTTATTCTCAAAGAAATGTTGTTGTTGTTTTTTCTTACAAATGTTCACTCATTTTCAGTAAACAAGTGATTTTCAGGTTAATTTAAGATTTTAATCCTGAAAGTTTTCATTTTTTTACATCAGAAAATGTTTTGGTTTTATTCTTTTAAATGTTTCTATTTAGTCTTAAAACATTTGAACTTTTTTCAGGCAAATTTAACTTTTTAAGACAGAAGAAAAAACCAAGTTATTAATTTTGGAGATAATTTTTATAATTTTAACAACAGTCTTTAATTGTTGTTGTGAATAAAAGTTTAAATGTTGTAACTTCATCACATGTCTCGAACAGGAAGCCGGTGTTTTGGCTCTAAGTGTTTTTTTGTTCGGAAACTAAATTAAAGCGTTAAACTCCGTTTGGGCCGAACTGAAAGTTGGATTCTTAAAAAAACGTTCTCGCAGATTTTCATCCACTTCCGGTTCTTTACATCACGAAAACACGATGTTTGACTCCGTTGTTTGAACATTATAAATAAATTATTTCATGTCTGAAGGAGTTTGTCTCAGAAAAGAGAAATGATATAATTTTGCATCTTTTTTTAAACGGGCAGTTGAAAACAAAATACAATTAGTAAAATGTCTCGTGAACCGCCGGCAGGATTTTAAAAACATTTTCAGGAACTAAAAACCTTTAGAGATGAGGGGAGACCGTTGAGGAGGTTCAGACGTCTGGTCTGGATGGACCCTGGACGTGTCCTTAGGGAGGGGTTCTGGTCAGGTCCAACTGGGAGGAGACCCCGAGGAAGACCCTGGAGAGACTCTCAGCTGGTCTGGGAACTCCTTGGAGTTCTGATGGAAGAGGTGGCTGTGGAAGGACGTGTCTGGACCTTCCTGCTCGAGACCCGAGTCCAGAATCGGAGGATGGAAATAATCACCAGGTCTAGAACAGTTTGATCTTTATAGGCAGCCACATTCAAGATGGTCGCCACAGCTAAAGCAAACAGACTCTACGTCTTTCAAATACTGAGCTAGTCTTTGGTGTGGTAGTAGCTGAGAGTCACTCCCAGCAGAAGGTTCATTTCAACTCCATGTCTTCTCACCAGACAACCTTTGTTTAAACCTGGCGGCGTATTCAAGGTGGCGGTGATGTGCATTTCTTAAAGGAACGTTGGGACCGTAGCCCTCAGGAAGTCCTTCGATGTCTGATGGACCCGTTCTGTACAGAACTGCTGGAAAATACTTTAAATATCTCAGCCTCAAAAATATCTAGATTAAATGACGCTTTAAAGTTTTACACTAAATAAGACTATGAGATTGTCATGGTCTCCGTTTTCAAGGTCAAAGTCACAAACCAAGGTCAAAGGTTGAACCGGGTCAGCGCTGCAGGTTGCTGTGTAATCAGGACTTAATTTGAGCTGGATCCTGCCGGAACAGGATCCTGGAACTCTTATTTTGACAGGGTGCGTTCCAGTAACTGTTTGCTTGGATCCAGTAACTCTCAGGCTGACTAATAATAAAGTTATGAAAACATGAATAAAACTTATATTGGATATGTAATCTGTAAATAATGATATAAACACTCATTTTAAACACAACTACTTACAAGCTTCCTAATATCACATCAGAGCTGCTCCTTCAAGTAAGCATTTCTGCTTCTGTCCTTAATAAAAATCTAAGTTTAATTAAAAACACAAAAATGTAAGTAAACAGCACAAACTGCAAATCAGTTTTACAGTTTTAAGTGGGTCATTAATAAAGTTTGATTATTTATTGAAAATACACGAGAAATGTTTGATGGGTAATCGCGTGACGTTCATTCATTCAACCTTTATTTCTACAGGCTAGTCTCACTGAGCCACGAGGACTCATCTACAACAGAGACCTGTTCCAGACAGATCATATAAAGTACAGACAAGAATAACAACGACAACAATAAACTACAGTAAAATGAGAGAAGTCTCTATTCACACAAGGAGAGCTGTTGGTCAGGCTACTCTAAAATAGTAATTGAATCAAGTGTTTACTTATGTAGGTAAATGTAGATGTTTAATAACCAGTTAAAATACACCAGAATGCAGGAAGTGGAATCTACTTTATTCAGAATTTTATGAGGGACGACCCCCAGAGTCCCCCCCCCCCCCCCAATGCTATTTGTGTTCTGGCATTGTTTGGTTTACAAACTAAGCCCTGTGTATAATACTGGTAGTTTGTTGATGGGTGAATGTGCCGTGTGCAGTACTTTTGTTAAATCAACTATTTATTTTAAGTATTTTTGAACACTTCTGACAAATTCCAGTCTGGGATGTTTTAAAGACCCTCAGCTTAGTGGAACCGATAGCCGCCACCGAGGCGCAGTTTTCGGTGAAGCCCTCACGAGTCAGCCCACCGTTGGGGGGGTGGGGTGTACAGCCTTACATCGGGTTCTCCTGGACTGGTCCAGCTTGCAGCAGGAAGGTGGGCAGATGTTTCCTCCTGGGTGATGAAGACCTGATCTGGACTCAGAGAAAGGTTTGGTTGAAGAACTTCTGTTAGGAAAGTGTCTCTGAAGCGTCACTGTTGGACCTTAAACCTGGTTCCGAGCGCTGAAGATGGTTCACACATGAAATTAAATTCTCATAGAAATTTAATGAGCAGATCTTTGAGAATCTGGACCAGCATGAAAAAGGACTTTCATTTATTTTTCATCTTTTTGTCGAGTTCCTGATTAATATTTCAGGCTGGCGGGCCTGGCCCGCGTCTCCAAACTTTGTTGAATTAGCCAGCAGTGACGGTCGACCCCCACCCGCCCCCGTCCCCGGACCCTCCTCACAGCTGGACCGGGACAGATGCACAGAATTCCTCTGGTGCAGACGGGATCTACAAGAGTCCAAGGAGCCCGGGCTGAGAAGTGGGCCGTATGGTGTCAGCACATCTGGGCCCGTGAATCCTGGAGGACGAAATCTAAAACCGGTTCTGATCGTCCAGTTTGTGTCAAAATAAAACCCTGAACAGATTCTGACCTCCAGCTCAACAACATCCTGTTGGAAGCGACGCACTTCAGCTGTTTGGGTCAAACCCTGAAGATAAGCCCAGCTACTACCATCCAGATGTTTGTCCTCCACGGTGAACTGGCTGCAGCGGCCATCTTGGATTAGATTGTTCCTAAGACACAGTCAGTTGTGATTGGCTGCTCTGAGCTTTATTCAAAATTTATTCGAGTTTAAATTACGAGGTTGTGTAAACGTAAACAAAAACGATGTTTTCAAACTGTTTTATTTACAACAGAATAAAGATTAAAGATCAACCTTTTACTGTTCGTCAGAGAAAATCCGTTTTGAATTTAATGGCAGAACCGCGTCTCCTTAAGGTTCTTCAGCTCCAAGTTTCCTCTGAAACAACCTCAGGAGACCAGATGTTGTTTTGTCTCCTTCTGGTCTGATGGACTCCAGCTCTTCAACTGTCCTGGATGGAGCAGATGTTCTTCTAAAACCTGCAGATGTTTTTCGTTTCATTGATAGTCTTTCCAGATGTGTCAGCTGTTCATGTCAGAGGCACTAATGCACCCCCATACTATCAGAGAGGCAGGCTTTGATACCAGGCTGGATGTTCTCCACTTTAGTCAGGAGAACGTGGTGATTGTGGTCTCCAAACAGAACTTCAGATTTGGACCCGTCTGACCTCAGAACAGTTCTGGACTCACCTCAGTCCATTTGAAACGAGTTCTGGTCCAGAGAAGACGGCCGAGGTTCTGGATGGTGTTCACATCTGGCTTCTTCTTTGTCTGATAGAGCTTTAAGCAGCACCTGTGGATGGACTGTGTTTAGTCCTGAGCCCAGAACCAGACCTGGTTTTAATGCAGGGGCCCCTGAGGGCCTCGTCCTTTAGCTCAGATTTCTACAGATTCTTCTAATCTGTTGATCAGATTATGAACTGCAGATGATGAAGATCAAAGTCTTTATTCAGGAACTTTATTGTGAAATCCATCCCCTTGTTTTGGAAGCCCAGCTGCTGAACCCGTGTCCGTCTTTACTTCTGAACCTCATTAGTCACTAAATGCTCCTCCAGCTGCTCATTTGGACCTCTGCCAGCTTTTTGTTGCTGTTGGAACAATTTACAGACGAGCTGCTGCCTTCAAATCCAAAACGATTTTATTTTGTAACAAAAACTTTTCTTGTTCTTAATCTGAACATTTTTTATGTTTGGTGAGAACAAACTCTGGTTCATGAGATTTTTAAATCTCTGTGTTCTGATTTTATTTACACTTGGCACAACCTTTGATCTGACCTGATTTCAGGGTTTTTTAATCTGAATGTTGTAGCCGACCCCCCCCCCCCCCCCCACCCACACACACACACACACACACACACACACACTTTAAAAAGTCCTAAACAATAAAAAATGTCTTGTTGCTAAAATCTGGAACCTTTTGCTTCTGAGTTTTTCAGTCCGTCGGGTCGAAAGGAGAAGTGAGATTTGGGATTCTGGCAGAGCCACTTTGGGTCGGCCAAAATATCCCTCTCATGCAAATGACCCCCCCCCCCCGAATCCTAATCGGGCGTGTGTGTGCGAGTGTGTGTGTGTCCACGCTGGCTGCAGCTGCTTCCTGTTCCTGTTAAATCGTACTCTGCTCATCTGGAGGCGACCGTCTCCTCAGCTCGTCTTTTGGTCCCAGCAGAGAGGGGGGTCCTCCGGGGGCCAGGCCCTCCGGGGGCCCCTGTCTTCAGCTCTGTGGGGGTCATCATGTAGGCCCGTTCAGAACTTGTGTTTATCACAAAACAGTCTCTGCAGGCTGACTTGTGCTAACGAGACTACGAGCTCTTCATTAACAGACTGTAGGCTCTGCGTTTATATTTTTCTCTCATTTATTTATTTATTTGTTTGTTTATTTATTTTTTCCTGCGTGCGTCCGTCATTCAGCCTCTCGGATTTTTTGACAGCTCTGCCTGAGCATCATTTTCTCACACCTCGTCCTAATTCAAGGTTTTAAACTTTTTAACGCACCAATTTAAAGTTTTTGACGTTTGACGCACCAGATCATTAATAAAAACAAAACGCCTCCACGCTCCAAATGTAAAACACCTTTATTGATATTTTCAAACAAAAGTCCCGTTAAATGAGGTTGACTTTATTTTTATTTCACGAGTCAAACAATTCTTAGTCACCGTCCCGTCACTTTGATTTGGGCTGAACGGAGGTTTTCCTGGAACATGACGGTAATAAATACAGAAACAGACGAGAAGGTTTTATAAATAATACGAGGCGATTACAGACACAGGAGGAGCACAGGAGGAGCACAGGAGGAGCACAGGAGGAGACGGGCTCGCATGGATTCTGAAAAACAGCCTCACCGAGAATTTCCTCTCGTTTAGCATCAAAATGAAACCAAAACAAAGGGAGAAAAATAACTTTTTAAAATTCTAGAATGAAAAAACATCACAAATGGGCCATTTATACATTTTATGGCATGTAAATATTTTCTGTTGTTTTCTTTTTCTCATCTTCCGTTTTTTTTTTTTTTTTTACATTTTGTCCAGATGAGTTGTCAGAAATTAAAATATTTTATTTGTTGCAGGTTTTAGGTTTATCTGTGATCAACAAACATGCAGACATCGTATAAAACCAAAAGTTGTACAGCGAGCCAGAGTGTATTTTACATGATGAATAAATCTTTATTACAGATTATGTGTTCGTCTTTGGGGTCTGCAATCTGCGGCTCCGGGGCCACATGTGGTCCGTCAGTCTCTAAAGTGGCCCAAATGTGACAAAAACCAGTCGGGCTTAAGATTTAAACTGACAATAACAAAACATAGTTTTTCCCAGTTTAAATGTTCATTTTTATCCTAACAATATAAATATGTTGAGCTGCAACTAAATGCTCCGTGTGCACAGCGTCATAAACAACACAAGCAGCTAAAACCTCTGCTGATCATTTTTACAGCTGACAGACTTTATTTATTTATTCATTCTGATGTCACTTCTCTCCAAACACAAACAGAAAGTTGAGTTTTCAAAAAACTTGAATTAAACCACAAACAGTTTGATCATCTTTTAGAAATGACCAGATTTTAATGCATTAAAAGATGAAGTTTTATCACAGGAAGTCATTCTTATAACAAAGAAAGTAACAGAAATTAAAACTTCCTTCTACTAATGGTTTAATTTAAGTAAATAATTTATTTATTCCTATCTAACAAATTTAAGTCAGGTCCTCTGGACATATTTAAAATAAATTGTTGAAGTGTTTCATCGTTTATCCAAAGGACTTCTTCAGTCTGATGAGGAGCTGCAGTAAACTCAGTCTTATAAATAGCACCTTCTCATAGTGGATCAACCAGTTTGTTGTTGACATCCAGAACCAGCTGTTCACATGATCAAGGAGGACCATCGGCCTAACGACTGATCGTTAGTGCCCTGGTGGCTGCTTGCTATTCAGAGGACTGAGTGATGCTAGCAATAACAGCATTGTAAGAGGGGGACAGTTGGACACTGAGGCCTCCGCCTCGTTAAACAGGGCGGAGCCTCCGCCTTGTTAAACAGGGGTGGAGCCTCGCCTTGTTAAACAGGGCTGAGCCTCCGCCTCGTTAAACAAGAA